TCCACCTGCGCATTTGGCTTGATCCCTTTTGCGGCACACAAGGCCCAAAAGCCCCCTGCAATGTAAAGCCATAACTAAGGAGAGGCAGAGGAGATGTGAAATTTGGGGGCGGTGGTGGAGGGCCTCCAGAGGTATCGCATCTCAATTTTTTAAAGTAATAATGAGTGCCTAGTCTGATATAGCCTCAGCCGCATGACTACTTCCTACAGTGCTCCACTAACTTAAGACTCTAACAGAAGACAGCAAGACTGTGTCAGAAGTACTTGTGTCAGAAGTAGCACACCAGCAACCCCCTTGCACATGACCTTGGGTTCTTTTGGCACCAGAAGGGCATGAAAAGGAGCCATGCTGCAGCAGCAACTATGCAGTTGAAATAACGTAGAGGGACTTACAGTGGCACCTTGGGTTACATACGCTTCAGGTTACATACGCTTCAGGTTACAGACTCCGCTAACCCAGAAATAGTACCTCGGGTTAAGAACTTTGCTTCAGGATGAGAACAGAAATTGTGCTCTGGTGGCGCGGCGGCAGCAGGAGGCCCCATTAGCTAAAGTGGTGCTTCAGGTTTAAGGACAGTTTCAGGTTAAGAACGGACCTCCAGAACGAATTAAGTACTTAACCCGAGGTACCACTGTAAATAGATACATAGTACATAAAAAGGAGCCATGCTGCAGCAGCAACTATGAAGCTGAAATAATATAGAGGAACTTAAATAGATACATAGCACTGTACCTAAATGCTCAAAGCACTTCATGTACATGATCTCATTAATCCTTAGCATCCCTAGTAAGGAAGACCAGCATTATTATCCCTATGTTACAGGCAGAGAGGCAAGGCCAGTGAATAATACCATCTCTTAAATCTACTCTGTGAGTTCTTGACCAAGCTGAAATTTGAACTGGGGGACTTCTGTCTCTTAACTACTATGCTGTGCAGCTATGAATCATCAAGTTGAAATAGACTAGAAGTCCATTTGGGTGTAAATCCCTACAAAACAAAGTCATGTATCCAGCAACTGCCCAAACGCCAACACCAACGTAATCCAACATACCACGTGCCACAAGCAGAGGCCAAGTTCGTGACAGAAAACAGCTTACTAAGCAAATTATGGCTGGTTGGGGCTGATGGGAATTGGAATTCAACAACATCTGGACAGCCACAGATCCCCAAAAGCTGCTACAAGATTTTTAAAAATCCCAGATTCATGACCTATCCCACTTGCCAGTAAAACCTTTTCCTACCTCCACACATATCAGTCTTTCAGCCGAGGAAACATATCCACGCCAAGTGAAAACTAATTGACAGATCACCCCATCACCAAAACACTCTCCTGTTTGCCCCGATATCGTAAGAGACCTTCCCTGTTTTTGTATTCAGGGCTGCCCATTTTTTATGCCTTTAGTGAAAGGTTAACCAAAACCTTACCAGGGACACTGGAGTCTCCCATGTCTCCTAAATAATAATAATATTTAACCTGGATTGGCTCTAACTCCTCCTATTATAACATGCCCCTAGCCAAGCACCTGAACTATCCACTGGCAATCCATGCATAATATGATAGGTGCTACGAGTGTGGGATGAGGTTGGCAGAGGTTATTCACGAGGGAACTGCATTTTGCACAATGTTTTACCTTTGCCTCAGATTAAAGCCCTGCTTGTAAGAGAAAAGGTTAAATCAAACATTCTCAGGTTGGGTAAAAAGCAAAGCACTGTTAATGGACATCGCCTGGAAATGTTATCCTTTTTTATTTTTGCAAGTATACACATTTCTGAAAATTCACATATTCAGTATCTTAGAGGATGTTCTCTCTGTGCACCTGTTGCAGCAAGGGATCTCCTTCTGTGGCTGTTGGAGAGTGTGCATGAATGAAACAAAATCCCTTCCTGCTTCATCAGTACTCAAGGGGGCGGACTCTGATAAAATGGGACAGACAGATGCTCCCATGATCTCCGTGCTATAAGATCCTGCAAGAGGACGTGCCCTTCCTCCACCACTTGTGAAGAGGGCCTTGCAGTTTACATCCTAAGGTCAAAATGACTGGAAAGTCAACAACTGGAGAGATGTATATCTGAACTTGGCCTGTCTGTTGATGGATGTAATAGGATATTCCATTATTACTTTCTATACACACCATTCTATATACACCACCAGAACTTAAAAGAGAGGACACTTGCTTCTTTTGTTCTTCTGCACCTTCCTCAGTTCCACATCTAAAAAGAAAATATGCCATAACTGGGTGGCAGACTGGGGAGTGGGAGAATGAACGATTAAAAGCAACGCATGACCAGAGCTTTTCAGGTGATAGCAGTTCTACTTGCGTGTTTGTTTTACTGAGATTGTTGGAGAGAGAAAGAGGTCTGGGGGAAAAAAGGTCAAAGCACTTTAACTGAGGAGTTTCTCTGCCATTTCAAAACTCAAAGCCCACAGACTGAATCTGCAAGTTGCAGCAGAAAGCACCCAGACACCAGAGTTGATGTTGGAGGGCAAGAAACTTCCTAACTTTCATTAAAAAGGGTTTTCGGGGAAGTGTATGGGTATCACCAGAAGCCTAATTTCATAGTACACCAAACTTTGGGAGGCAATGGAGACAGAGGAGAAGAAACAGCAAAAAAGAGAAAGTAAGAAATGTTTCATGCAGGCCTCCCGGCCTATTTGAGCCCATTTCTTTTAGCTCTGCATTATCTTCTACCCAAAGGCGAATGGGCAACTCAGAGGATCTCTATAAGATCTCTGGTCCACTGTCTGTGCAAAGACAATTGGAAGGAAATTATCTAATACCCTCACAAAGATACACAGTGTTGGGGCTATGGAGGGGTCATCTTATTTCTAGAGCACATGATGGGTTGCATGCATCAAACACACAAGAGCATTACAGAATAACCTCCTCATTTCCCCCTCTATGTTCTTAACACTCGCACCCTCTAACCAGAAGAATCAGCTCTGGTGCTAATGAGCTGGCGAGGGTGCCCAGCCACTCAACCCAGCTGCATGCAGCTCCGCCAGGGAAACCCAGATGTGGGCTTGGCATCCACAGCCAGCAGGTGGGCTCTCTGGCTCTCCGTAACAAAGGAAAGTCCAACCCCAGGCGAACTGTTTTTGACACGCCTACAGGGTAACCAAAGACAGCTGGGCCTCTGCGAGAAACACTATCAGCGATGGAGAGGAGGAGGGAGAGAAAGGGAACGCAGCCAAAACAAAACCGAGCAGCTTCCTGCGTAGGATTGTTTGCCAAAATCTACAGAAGGTGGGATAAGAAGTGATAGGCTGACATGCCCTTGCTGGAAGCCAGCTCATTTTCTGCAAGGCAGGATCAGGCTGCAAAAGCAGGAGCTACATCATATAATTTACAGCTACTGCAGTATTCCTAGGCGTGAGCTTCAGCTTCTCGGGCGTTGGTCCAGGCTGGTTGCCCACTCAGGTCACCAGTTACAGCATAGGAGTTGGACCCTGGAGTTTTGACAGGCAATGCAAGTTCCAGGAAAGGGCTAGAGACGAGCTCCAAGCACATCCTGGATGGAGCCCTTTTCCTTCTTGTTCTCACTGTTCCTTGACAAGGTCAGCTGATGCTACGGAGTCAACGGGCAGTGGCTCCTCTTCCTCAGAATCCGGGCTCTCCAACTGGCTGTCTTCCATGCTGATGTCACTCCAATGAGGGTGAGATTCCACAGAGCTTTTGGAAAAGAGGGTTGGGTTTCAAAACAAGGAGGTAAGAGAAAAGGAGGGTTGGGTTTCAAGAAAAAGGGGAAGGCAGAGAAGAGAGATAATACTTCGTTGGAAATCTTTGGTTCCTTCACAGAACTATACATCCCAGAGTTCCTTGGTTTGGAATCAGACCAAACACATTTACACCTACACTGCCAATGTATCGTTTAAGACAGAGGTGGGCAGATGGCACATCAGGATCTCCTGGGAGAGCTCTAGGTGATTTGAAGTAGGTCAGCAAGCGATTTTGGCTTCCAATTGTTTAACAATGGCAACAACCAGATAACTCCCATCCACCACCCCAGCTATTAAGAAAGCTGGAAAGAAATTGTGTGTGTGTGTCCGTGTCCCCTGTTCTGGTACTGAAAACAAATTTCTGACGACAGATTAATTTAATTCCAATGGGGTTTTTTTGTACCTGACTGATTGGTAGATCTTGGGGTTCTAGTAAAAACCAAAACAGATCCTGCAAGCATGACCTCTGCCCACCCCTGCTCTGAGAAATATGGTTAGGATTGCCCCATTCCCCCCATGCACACAGTTGCTTAGAGAGACAAAGCACCACACTTTCAAATGGCACACCCAGGAATTCTGTGTGATATGGAAGAATGCTGCAGTTCATCTCTTGGGAAGTATGGTGTAGCTGTTTTGACTGGTCAAGAACCATAGCCAGTCTAAGACCAAAGCACCACTGTGAATTCAGGAAGAGCGGGAGATGGAAGAACAGCACACAATTGTAGATGAGCAGGAAAATACTGCGGAAAATACTGTACTCAGTAACTTAAGCCTCACTAAACACACACACACACACACACACACACACACACACGTATTATAACAAATTCAACAAAACTATATCTGAAAGGGGGGAAAGCTTTCAAGACCAGAATTTAGTTCACTCCCCTTTGGCTCAAAACCATAACCATTTTTTTAAGATTACAGGAAATGTTGAAATCCAACTACTGAAAAAGCCTGTATTGTGGTGGTTAATTGCTTGGTGATGTCTACGCCTTGCCCGCTTGATTAAAGAGGAGGCTGGTGGCACTTGATTGAGGAGGAGGTGCAAAGCATGGTGTTCATGGAAACTCTGGCAATCCTCTACTTTTTCCACCCTGTCTCTGGGAAAGAGAAGAGACAGGAGCAGAGCTCATACACAGCTGATTTCCCATTCAAATACTGATCTTCCTCCTCCAATCCAGCTCTCTTTCCCCCAGATGGGAACCGTTTTCATTCTGGATTCACTTCAGAGTTTTCAGCATCTAGTACAAACTGCACCAACACACCCAGTTCCGATTACCTGCTGCTGAAGTCCCCTTTGGCCAGCAGAGCGGAATGGCTGTCCTCCTCCTGCACCCAACCACAGTTCGACATGGCGTAATGGAGAATGGCATCTGTGACGCTCAGAGAGCCCCGACCCTGAACGCAAGCTTCAATCTCTGGTATAGAGAGCTGGCTCTGGAGGAAGAGGTGCAGCTGGCTATCCGAAAGGAGCACAACATTCTGTACCACCCTTGAAAGGAAAACGGAAGGTGGTAAGTACCAAACCAAAGGGACAGCAAACAGTGCCTGGTAAACCATAATTTCTGTACAAGAGAGCCTTCCCTAGGACTGCTTCCCAGATCAAGCAGCCCTTCTCTTCCACATAGCCAAGTCTTAGCTTTCGGCAGGCTAGCCAAGTGAGTGAGAGATAAGCCAAATGCACACAAACCTCTGCCCTACAAAAGAGAACAATCATAGGGTTCAGTGAAGGCTGTCTACCTCCAAGCATCTGCTGCTCAAAGTGACAACCTCTCAGCCTAATGGTAGGGACAGTCCTGTTCCGCCATCAAGTTAAGACTTCATGGGAGTTGTATTCCAGCAGCCTGGTCATGTTGTTCGGATGCCTGATTATCGTCTTCCAAAACAACTACAGTGGTACCTCTAGATACGAACAGGATCCGTTCCGGAGCCCCGTTCACATCTAGAGGTAAACGTATCTAGCAACGGCATGTCTGCGCATGCATGCGTCGCTTTTCGCCGCTTCTGCGCATGCGTGTGACGTCATTTTGAGCGTCTGCGCATGCACAAGCGGCGAAACCTGGAAGTAACTTGCTCCATTACTTCCGGGTTGCCACGGAGCACAACTCGAATGTGCTCAACTCGAAGCGTATTTAACCCGAGGTATGACTGTACTCTATTCCCAACTTAAGAATGGAAAGCGTAATGCCGGTGGACAACAAAAGAGGTTTAAAAACTCTCTCAAGGCAAATCTCAAAAAATGCAGTATAAACACTGACAACTGGGAAACACTGGCCTGCAAGTGCTCCAGTTGAAGAACAGCCTCTACCAAAGGCGTCATGGACTTTGAAGAGGCATGAACTCAGGATGAAAGGGAGAAAGGAGCTAAGAGGAAGGCACATTTGGCAAATCCTCACTGTGATCTACTCCCGCCCGGAAACCTATGTCCCTGTTGTGGAAGGATGTGCGGATCCAGAATTGGCCCGCACAGACACACTGTTAAAACCATATTCATGGAAGCAGTGGCAGAGCGTGTGCCCGCGCTGCCCGGGGCAGGCCCATGGGGTGTGGAGGGCACCCTCCCATGCACCACAGTTCAAGGTAGGAGAGGGGCAGGGAAGCTGCTACCCACTCTCTTTCAGCTCTCTGCTGCCAGGTCAGGCCTGGGTCAGACATGACCCAGTGGGAGAGCTGCTGCCGCTGGGCATGAGGTGTGCCGCAGCTGAGGAGGGTGGGTGACAGCGCTGCCACCCACTCGCCTGCTCTCCTCCCCAGGTCAGGCCTGACCTGGGGCAGAGCTGCGCCAGCCACAAGCACCGCAGCCAGAGGGCAGCTCCTGGTGCAGAACCAGGCTCCAATGTGGGGGTGCCTGTTAGAGCCCCCTCTCAAAACTGCACCCAGGGCCACGGCACCCACGGCACTCTCCACGCTATGCCTTTGCATGGAAGACAATCTTACTTAGCTACGAGTGATCCCACAGTACAGTACAGTACAGTACAGTACAGTACAGTAGGGCTATAGGTTCCCCAACCTGATCTAACCCATTACTACTTTAAAACATGTTGGAAGTCACTTTGGGTATTGTGGCAGGGTTTTTTTAAGTGGAAATGTAAGGTATAACTATTCTTAAAAAATATAATGTTTCTCAAACTGTTATTTCCAACAAATTGCTTGAGACACCTGGAGAATACTCAGGTTGAATGATTACATCTGCACACCATCTTTGTAGAGGCCAGGAGAAACACAACACATAACTGCTATGTTGTATTTTCCACATACTGAAAGACGGCACCACAGAGCTGGCATGTCTAACTCTCCAAGTTTTAAAGGGCCATGAGATATACAGGAAATTGCCTTATACTAAGTCCGACAAAGGGTTCAGTACTGTCCACTGACAATGGCTCTCCTGCGTTCAGGTAGGAGTCTTTCCCAGGCCGACCTGGAAATAACAGGATCTGAATCCAAGACCTGCTGCATGTGAAGCATGTACTCAACCACTGAGCTATTGCGCTTCCCCTGACAGCACAATAGAGCACCTTCCTTGCAGTGGGGATCAGCCAAGTGGAGGAAGGGAGGTGTTGCCCTCCCTCTGCTCACTCTGGGCTAACTGCTGCTCACTCCAACTACGTTTCTAAGTCAGTCTCCACAAGTGAGAGCCGGGATAGCAAAGTGAATGTATTGGACTAGGAGAAGACCTTCCACCACAAAGTCCTCTGGGTAACCCTAGGCCAAGGCACCCGTCTCTCTCTGGCCTAGGCTACCTTACAGAAAGCTTTCAAAGATAAAGCAGGGTGACCTCACCTTACACCCCAAACTTCTTAACAGGAGGACAGGGTAAGAATTAAAAAAGAAGCGCACTTATCCCAGGCCAGAAGGGGAAAAGAAAGGGGCAGATTATGGGGAATGGAACACATTAATGTAACTGTTCATGGGAACGTTCTTTCTTATGGAGAAGCCCAACATATACCCACATTTCTGCCAAATGTATGACAGCATCCAAGCACATAACTCTGCCCTCCCCCACCTTCGTTCCTCCTTTCTACTCACTTCTCCAGGAACTGCTGAAGCCCTTGCCTCCGCTTCTCAATGAATTCATCAGTGCTGCCTGCAAAGAAGGTGGACTTCCCTGGAAGTTCTGGGACAGGCCTGAAAGATTGGGGAGGGGGCGTAAGAATGAAGACACTCCTGTCAAGTTGCATGCACGTTAATAGGAAAAGAGATGCTTCCAGTCTCTGACTATATTCCAAGAGTTTGTTGTGCACTATTGAAAAGGGATCCCTCTGGAAACTACTAGCTCTATCAGCTACCTCCTGCATTTTGCTCTTGTCAGGAATGAAAATGACTTCCAGCAAACTCTCACACGACTCCTTTGATTTTGGCAATGAAACTGGCAAAAGCACATTAGTGAAATGCACATCTTCCACAAGCCTGACAGGAGCTGTTAGCGCATGACGGGTCCCCTTACGAAAAACTCAGCATTTCTGCAAGGTGAAGCTGATGTCTTTGAATGGTCCTCAGCACTAAATTATCAAGCTGGGTTTACAGAAAAGTTATGTAGGTTCCAGGATGCTAGTTCAGTATCAGAGCAGATGCTAGATCAGTATCAGAGCTGGGCTCACTTGCAAGTGAGTAGATGTAACATGAACTTTGCAAAAGGTAAATTGCAAGCCTCTTCTAAGTTCTAACAAAAGAAAGCGACATATAAAGCAGCCTTATTCAGAAGGTAGCTATTGCTCCTTCTTGCCAGTAAAATCTCTGACTGGCAGCAGCTCTCCAAAGGTGTCAGGCAGGGGATTCTTTTCCCAGCACTGTTACTCAGATCACTTTTAACTTAAGACGTCAGGGAATGAACATGGGATCCTCTGCATGCAAAGCATGTGCTCTCCCAATGAGCCACTCTTCGTTAGGCACATTTTAAAGGCTTCCATTCAAACAAATGCATTTAGAACCCTCAGCTAGTTTTATTTTCAACAGAGCTATATTGGGGCATAGGCCCTGCCTATCCTGGTGATGTTTTGTGAGTACAGCAGGCTTTGAAAAGATTGCCATTTCACACTTACACCAAGCCGGCATTTTTCTGCAGCCGTTTCTTCAGCCACACGAACTCACGGTACCGTCTGCGTACACAGGATGTCTTGGCTGTAAAGGCTTTGCTGTTGGTCTGCATAATGAGAAGAGAGAGTGTTGCTCTGAGATTCCCCCCCCCACACACACACACTTTCATTTTCTTATCTCAGGCTCTTTTTCCAAGCTGTCTCCCTCTGCTGGCCATTTTGTTAAAGCAGCACTAGCATTATACTGTAGACACTTTGTGCCATGAAAACTGGAACTGCAAACTTTTAATCATTATGATGACTGAACTAAAGATTTAATTGACCAACAGGTGAGGCTGTGTCAGCAAAGAGCATGCTTGCCATTTGATTTTTTTGGTATTAAAAGAATGGCCTTTTTCTCTATAATGTCCTTTAACTATTAGCAACAGATTTGTTTGTCTTACATTTCCTTCTGCCTCTCAGAGAGGTAGCTACAACTGAGCCCTCGGAAATGTGACTATTATTATTATTACTACTACTACTACTACTACTACTTGATCAGCCAAGGCAGGCAGTGGGATGAGAGCCCCAAAAAAAATTGTCTTAGGAGAAATCAGACCAAAGATTCATCTAGCCTAGCAGCTGTCAGTCAGATGCTGCAGGAAAAGGTAACATGAAGAGTGCATTGTGCTAGCCATCCCTTATTTATCTACATGATCTGGTGGTCCAGCCTCTAAACCAGCAGGTAAGGTCCCCAAGGTAGTTTGACTCCCAGCCATCCTCCACATAATCCTCTAATCCAGAGATGGCTAGCTTCTGTTTTCTCAGAGGTCACTCTGTTATAGCATAAGGACCAGCACAATCCCTGGATTAGGGTTGTAGCTTAATGGCAGAACATCTGCTTTCTACATAGAAGGTTTGAGATTCAATCCAAGGCATCTCCAAGCAGAGGCAGGGAGAACCCTGTCTGAAACCTCAGAAGGCTGCTGCCGCATGCCAATGGAGACAATAGTGAGCTGTGTGGACCAATATAAGGTGCCAATGGAAAGTACCCATGACTCCTAGAAGTCTCTTTCAGACTTCTTTGCACTGCAGCCTGGAGAAGGGAAGAAGCAGCAAGATTTTCTCCTGCTCTTTCTTTCATTCTCCGAACTCCATCACAAGCAAGAGAAAATGTATCTTTCTTCCCTCTGTGCCTGCTAATGAGCTCTATTGGAGTCTTGTCTCACTTGTGCAGAGCTTTGGAAAAGGTAAGAAACAAATAGCAGGAGAATTCCTGCTGTCTCTTGCCTTCTGCCTGGCCGCGATGCAAAGTTAACTTCTCATCCAAATTCCGTGCAGTTGCCAGAGGGACTGGAATACAGGCAGTTTACTCTCACTTACGCAGCAGTTTGAAGAAGTAGCAGAGGTGGCCATTTCAGCAACAGGCGAAGATGGCTTTGTTAGAAGAAGAATTTGTTCTACAAATGTTTTCTACATGAGATGACAAGCCATATTTCCAGTCACTTTAGCTGCTGCTCTTTGGACCCCTTCCAGCTCCAGCCATACTTTGCCATACTTACATGGAGGAATATTTTGTAGTCCACATAAGAGTTCCAGGAGCCCTCGTTCTGGACACGAGGATCTTGGACACGCACAGTGGTCAGTTCCTGGGCATGAGGATACGGGGGAAACACAGTCAAAAGTCTCCAATCCCAATACTCCTCCCCACGGCCTCCCATCCCATACCTTAAGAGGAATAATGACTCCTAGCCTGAAGAACATCATCCACAAACAGAAACTCTTTAAGCAGATAGAAAAAAAGCCTTGCTAGATCACACCAAAAGTACATCTACTTCAGCACCTTTTTTCAACGATGGCCAACCAGTGGCACCCAGGAAGTTGAAAAGCACAGGATGGAAGCAACCACATTCCTTTCTTTGTTGCCAGCAACTGATATTGTCTTGGAACATGAAGGTAAGAATACCTTCAAGTACCAGGTGCTGGGGATGAAGGTTAATAGCTGATAAAAGACCTGTCCTCCCAATTCTGCCCCCTTTTTATGCCCTGTAAACAAGTACTCTTTATAGGAAGAGATTTCCTTGTATCCATTATTAAGCTGCTAACAACTGCCCCTCCAAACAACAATGGTGTTTGGATGTACAGAACTCTATTATGTTCTCCCTTCATTTCCCAATAGGTAGATTCTATGGTATATAAGCTTCTGTCCCACTTCTTCTGAAAGGAGTGGAGGGGCTGGATGAATTCGAATCCACAATCTTATTGAGAAAGAAAGAAAGATGAAGAAGAAGAGTTTGGACTTGATATCCCACCTTTCACTCCCCTTAAGGAGTCTCAAAGTGGCTAACAATCTCCTTTCCCTTCCTCTCCCACAACAAACACTCTGTGAGGTGAGTGAGGCTGAGAGACTTCAGAGAAGTGTGACTAGCCCAAGGTCACCCAGCAGCTGCATGTGGAGGAGTGGGGATGTGAACCCAGTTCACCATATTACAAGGCCACTGTAATACCACTATACCATGCTGGCTCTCAGAAAGAAAGAAAGAAAAGAAAGAAAGAAAGAAAGAAAGAAAGAAAGAAAGGAAGAAGGAAGGAAGGAAGGAAGGAAGGAAGGAAGGTAGGTCCTCCAGCTCACCAAACCGCACAGCCTGAGCAAATAATGAAAGGCACAGCCCCCTCCATTGTTGGCATATGGGGGCATAAGTTGAATCCTTGGGGCAATCAGAGGGAAATCACGGTGACTAAGCAACTGTGAACCACACTAGCAGATTTTTGCGCTTGAGCCTGTTGAACCTGATTCACACAAGCAAACTGAGTAAGTGGGAGGTGGGATGGAACACAGACTGACTGGCATGCCTGACCCTACGGGGATCCACGTACAGTCCTGTGTACCAAAGCAGTTGCGCACTCAGCCTTCCACAACCCACACCCCCCAATGATTCTTTAGATTAGAGCATGTGGGAGTTTGGAGGGGGACACACAGCAAACAGAGGGGCATGAATCTTTTGTGGTTCTGACCCAAAGAAGCTTTTGGTTATGAGACGGTTCTCCAATCTCAAGTCTGTTGCATTTAACATGTAACCAGGAAATTATGGCGTCCAAAAATGTTACAATGGGAACAAAACCACCTATACCAATGCCGCTTTGGTCTCTATCTTCCAGGAAGGTAGCAAAAGGACTGGCATAGACATTGGTAAGTGTGTATCTCTCTCCCTCATTTAGGACATGGCCAGGTCAAACTCAAGGCTTCCCAGAATTTCTCCTTCCTGGATAATGACAAGTTTTTGTTTTTTGTTTTGTTTAACATGCATACAAGAGATGTGTCACGTAATCACATGTGTTAATGACCAAGGTCTTACCTCTTCTACTTGATGTTCTAACATCCTACATCCACATCCCAGAGGGACGCATCTGTGCAGGGAAAGAAAAGGATATCCAATCAACACTGAGCGCAAGTCAGCACTTTAAACCTCAACCCAGGTTGTTCCTTGACTGCTATAGTATTTGCACTCCATCAACCAAATTATTAAACAAATATCAGAGCCTGCTATAACACTCACTGGGAAGGAAATGGAGTATTTGGTGCAGAAGTCAGCTTCCTGAACCTTTCATATTTTTTAAAAATAGAACAATGCTTCCAGTCCTTGTTGCTATACTGCAGAAGTACAGAAGTAAGAGGAAGGACATTCTGACCTCTGCCACAAGCCAGAGAACTAAGAGCCAGCAGATATTATCCAAGCGCAATGGGAAGGTAGTCCTGGGATTCTGAGGATCAAGTCCCACCTGAATCACTGACTCACTGGGTGCCCTTAAATAAGTCACTATCTCAGTGTTGTCCCCTAGCCAGGTTTTTGTATGTCGAATACTGTTTTTAAGTACCTTATTCCTAAATCCATTAAGCACACACAGGAGGTTACCCCTGCCCTCAGTTCTGCCCAGTGACGTATTTTACAGGGGTTTTGAGAGAGTAACAATCCAAGTATTGGAAACACTTTACTACTCCAAAGCACAACCGTATTCAGCATTCCGTTGCTGGTAAAACCATGGCTAGTTTTTCACACAGCAGTGGCATCACCTGGAATCACCTTCCTTGTGGGAAGATAACATGATAAATGCCAACTCTATTAGACCTTGTAGAGGTAGTATCTTGGGAAATGGCAGGCAAGATGCCCATAGCAAACCCCGTTCCTCCTCGCTGCTGTGACCACTGCCCATTTGCTAGCTCTCTCCCTCTGGACCCAATCCATACAGCTTCCCAGAAGGAGATGGCAAGATGAGCAGAGGAGGCTAATGCTGCTACTCCTTTTGCAGCTCAGTTGCTTACAGTGAAAAGGCCGGGATAGCAGAGGGGTTGGTAGTGACCCTTTGTTGAGGCACGGATCTCAGCACATGCCTGAAATTACCAACCTTAAATACTGGCCCTACATAGACACAATTTTCAGTAACCAAAGTAATGCAGGACTTTGGCAACTGAGAGGGGGAATACTGCATTATATTTACATGTAGGATGGGGAGCTGGAAAGACTTGCTAAAAAGGAATCATTATTCTCCCTTTATATTGGGCAAGAGTGGGTAATTTAAACAAACCACCAGTATCAGTTAGGCTAATCTGGCTTGCTATGGTTTCTGTAGCACTTTCATTGACTTGCAAAACACTCTACAACCCTTATCTGATTCTCACAACAGCCTTGTCAAGTTGAACAGCATTGATTCCATTTCCATCTCCAAAGATTCCCCAATCTGCTCTTAAAAATGCCATTTGGAGGGATATTGTGATGGACATGAATGTCAAGTATACAGAATGTTTCAAGTCTTTAAAGTACATACTAGGAAACTCATTTGTATTTTTTTGCTGCAAGAGGCTATCTGGAAGTTGTTTTACCTCAGGGTGGCAAACACATTCACCCCCTTTCCATTGAACAGGTTCCAAGTCCTCCAGAATTTAGGAACGGATCTGCAACCAAAGTTGAGGAACTAGAAATATTCACGGGGCTGGATTTGAAAAACCTACAAAATCGAAACAAAAGGAGCTCTGAGGATCACAGGAAAAATGAGTATGATTTAGGTCTCAATTCAGCTATGACTCAAAAAGATTCAATCCTGGAACCTGGGGAATAGTGTGTCTGAGCACATGCAGAATGTTTCCACCCCCACCTCTGACTAGCCAGTCACTGCCAAGCCTAGGGCTCAAAATGACAGACACCTTCCCTACCTTTAAATAAACAGAAAGCTTCCTCTGTCTGTAAGGAAAATGTCATTAAAGAAGGATATTATCAGCAGGAGGCTGATGTGGTGCTGCACAGTTGATTAACTAGTTGTTGGTTCCTTATTTGCTAGGAAGTTCAAAACACCCAGCTCAATCAGAAAACTTGTAACACCACCACCTAAGGTTTTTATGTCCTTAAACCCCACAAATAAGCTTTTGTCTATCCTGTATCAAATATATCCTTGCTCAGGAGACTCTGCCTTTTGAGATCCACAGTTATTATTCCCTGCCCTCCTGTGGTGCAATGGGTCAGTGTGTCTGGCTGTTGGTGGTTTGGGCCTACTACCCAGTGAAGTGCCAACTTGTATGGCAGTGAAAGCAGGGCCACATAGAGGGAAGAACAGAGTAGGGACGCGGCAAGTATGCAAAAAATAGGGAGAGAGAGAAAGTCCAAAAATGGAAAGACCAAGGGAAGGAAAGCACAAGCCCTCAAGTGTCAATGTCACCTATGACTATCATCAGCAGGAAAGGGTAAACAATTGAGAAACTACACACACACAGACACAGCAGTGTTTGGGGCTATGGCAGCCACCCCTGAACCTTCTGATAACACTATCCCAGCACTGTATGGGACAGTCTGAGATGGGAACCGAGCTTAGGCAATGCACTTCCATTTTACTGCTCAAAAAAAATGCATACACATGCATATACTTCTTCCTCTTTTTGAACAGTAAGCCCAGGGTGTCTAAGTGCCAATACAAGTCCCCAAATCTGTTTATATGTGTTTTTGCTCACTCCAGTATCTTGGAAACAGAAGCTCAGTATGCAAATAACCTTTTAAAATTATTATTCAGGACCTGCCTCAGCAGCTCTTCCCTTTACAAGGGCTTAGCCTCAGATTCCATTCCCAGTCTTGCGGAAACATACAAGAATTCTGGCATGTGTATGATTCCAGGTCAGGGATCGTGATTTTCAAATAGGCTACAGCCAAAACACTCCCCTCTGTTCCTGGCCCATACATCTTTGACCTTTATCAGGTAGACAAGTCATACATAATCCCAATTTATTCCTATCAGGAATGTCTGGTAGTGGGTTTCCTGCATCGGGGGGGGGAGGTGTCGGGTGGACTAGATGACCTTTGAGGTGCCTTTCCAACTTTGTGATTTGGTTACCACTAGAGAAAGCAGGTGCCATCAAGGCAATACCAGACCTCCCACAGGCAGTCAGTAACATGGGGATTAACAGCACTGACTCAGCTTCATCACTAACCCTTATAACAACCCCTTAATGCTGCAGGTGCTCTGCATCCTGGATGCACTACGTAAGTACCAAGCATTAGTGTTATCCCATGCTGCAATCCTCAACTACTAGAAGAGCCTAATTGAGCCTGGTGCCTGCTGACTAGTCCATGTAGAGACATAAACCCTGCCTGCTTTTCTGTTGGGTGTCAAAATCCTCACTTCAGTTGCCTCAAGTTAGTAGCTACTCAGAATCTCTAACCATTAGTAGTGTTAGCTTTAAAAATAAATGAGCAGGATCAAGATTTTCGGGGGAGAAAATATTGCATCCTCATGCCACTTCTGCCCGGACGCTGAGATCCAGCGCCGAGGGCCTTCTGGCGGTTCCCTCATTGCGAGAAGCAAAGCTACAGGGAACCAGGCAGAGGGCCTTCTTGGTAGTGGCGCCCGCCCTGTGGAACGCCCTCCCATCAGATGTCAAAGCGATAAATAACTACCTGACATTCAGAAGACATCTTAAGGCAGCCCTGTTCAGGGAAGTTTTTAATCTGTGATATTTTACTGTATCTTTGGTTTTTATGGAAGCCGCCCAGAGTGGCTGGGGAAACTCAGCCAGATGGGCGGGGTACAAATAATAAATTATTATTATTATTATTATTATTATTATTATTATTACTTCTCCCACAGACTTGACCCAAGAAGCACTTTCCTCCTACTTCCTCCAATAATAGGTCTTCTCAGCCCCTACACCACAAGCAGGCAGGAGGAAGGGCACAAGGGAAGTGGTGAGGGGGCAGGTCTAGTACAGTGGTACCTTGGGTTAAGTACTTAATTCGTTCCAGAGGTCCGTTCTTAACCTGAAGCACCATTTTAGCTAATGGGGCCTCCTGCTGCTGCCGTGCCGCCAGAGCACAATTTCTGTTCTCATCCTGAAGCAAAGTTCTTAACGTGAAGCACTATTTCTGGGTTAGCGGAGTATGTAACCTGAAGCGTACGTATCCTGAAGCGTATGTAACCCGAGGTACCACTGTATGTTCCTGTGTGTTTCAGTGCATCTGGTTTGCACACCATGCTTAGGAGCGGGTGTGTGTGTGTGTGTGTGTGTAACACAAGCACTTTGCTAGTTTGCAGACAGGCAACGGGAAACTATGCAGAAGTTATGAAATGCCAACAGGCCTATTACAGTAACAGGGGAGGGACAGGTGTCTCAGGAAATAACTCCAGGGGGTGGTGTCCAATGCTAACCTTACTCAGAGTAGGCCCATGGAAGCCAATGCTGCACTTTTGAACTCTCTACCTAGTGGCATCAGGCAGGCGCTTGTGTTCCACTATGTTTGTGAGTGCTTTGAGCGGTATTTAGTTTACTGCTGTTTCTATTTTTATATTAGTTGTTTTTCCCCTCTTTGTAAGCCACTTCGAGGCTAGCGGGGGTATGAAAAATTATTTCATAAATTTTATGAAATAAGTAATAACTAACTTAAGTTTCAACGGGTAGCTGCTGAGTAGATCTTAACTGAGCACGGCCCAAGATCTCCAGCCCTCAAGTTTACATCGGAAATTTACCAGGTGCTTAATATTCAAGCATTCAAGTAGTATCCCGACTGGCGGCAATCGTCCATGATCTAAAACAGATGCGTTTCCTAGCCCCGCTACTCTCAAGATCCTTACAGCTTGATCTGCCTATTTCTTTCAGTCCGCTTATACCACCTTCCTCCCATAATGGAGCTGCAGGCAGTAGACACGGGATTCCGCCTGACCAGCCCCGACCTGCCTAGATGCATCGCGCGCCCTCGGGGGGCAACAGGACGGTCTGCCAGCAAGGCGCCCTGCCGGGCCGAGGTATGCTTGTCCTCCCGACTCTTCGCTGCCGCTTTACGCCACAGTCCTCCTCCCGACACCCCTGTCCACGCCAACATGCAGTCCTGTTTCTGTGCTTAACAGGCACCCCCGTTTCCACGCCCAGCCCATGCACACGATCCCAGCACCAGCCTAGCCGACCTACGACCGCCACCCGCGCCCCTCCTTTCTGCAATCGTTGCTCTGTACTTCCTTCATCGTGCCGAAGTCCTCTCCGTTAATTCCCCCCCCCATGTCTCACTTCCAACCCTCCCTCCTCGCTTATTGAACACTGCACGCTCTTTTTAAAATAAAATGTTTAAAAAGGGCGCGGCTCTGATGCCTCCTCGTCTTTCACACCTTCTATCCAGCTGCACCCCGCTTTCGGCTTACTGTACTGTCTTGTTTTGTTTTCTTGCAACGACCCGCCTAAGCTGCTGTTGTTGCCGCGGCCCCTTTAAGAATGTCCGAGCCCGAGCGCTTCAGCTTTAAAAGGGGGTGGGGTTTTCTTTCCCACGTGATCTGTTTTTCTCGGTTGCGTGAGCCGTGCTGGCTGATGGGAAATGCAGTTTCGAACCGCAGCTATAATTCATAGCCCGAAAGGACGATATTTCAGCTGTGCGTTCTGCTTAAAGACTGTGGTTTGCAATTTGCGTCCTGTATAAATGCAAACGTTTCCTCCGGATTAATTCATCCCAAACAAATGTAACTGCATGTTCTGATCGGTACCTTATTGCATAGCACTATCTTAAACATGCTTACTCGAAAGTAAGTCCCGCTGAATTATATAGCACTTATAGGATTGTCGGAGTGAGGGTTGTCTTGAAGAAGTTCTATTTAGAGTAGACCCATTGAAATTAATGATTTGGGGTTAATCATGTCTACTCTGAGTAGGATTAGCATTGGATACAGCCCTCAGTTTCCTTTTAACTGTCAGTCTATTAGAATTCATGCAACACATGAATAGACACAGTGTGTGATGGGGAAGAGACTGGATCCATTAGGCAGGGGAAAGGCTAAGCTGGAATTCTTCTCCCTGTGATTCTAACACTTCCTAGGGAAGCTTTCAAACTTTTCAATTCTCTCTAGCACACGTGTATATTCTTAAGTGGCAAAGTCCCAAACACGACAATTTCCTCCCTGAAGGTTTAGATTACCACTAAGCTACTTTAAACACATTCCAAGTGAAAGGACACATTTCACTGAACCAAATAATGTCCCCAGTTTTATTCTGTATTAAGAAGGTGCCTGTTGCTATGATGGGAGATTCAACACATCCCTTTGTTACACTTCTGTCACTGAGAGCTGAGTCATCTAGTGTCATGAATGGAAGAAAGGTTGCCTTCACTGAAGCCATGTCCTGAAGTTCAGTACTGTACTTTCCCCACTATGAATAGCAATCATCCACATGAAGGAGGAAAGAAGGGGTTGCAATAGGGACTGCCTTCAGGATAGGAGCTAAAATGTCCCTTGCTCCCCGTAACTCTAACCTACTTCTATTTCCACAGTCCCTTTCTGAGTTTGTTTCTTGGGGTGAAAACAGATGTAAATTTTCTTTTGAGGCCGCAACCCTTGGAATGATCTCCACAAGACTGAGCTATCCTGTATAGATAGGATTGTGCTGTCAGTGGTACAGGTGGCTTCAGATGTCACTTCCATGTGGCCTAAATACTTCACATCAAATGCTTTTTGAAAGACTAAGATTGCACATTTTCATTTGTCACACAAGTTTTAATTCCCCCAAATGCAAAAACATTAAGAATTTCAAGCCTCTATTCAGCACTATATGTGCTAAGATTCTGTCCCTGATGCATTGTGCTGCATTATTTATTGTAAGCCACTCAAACTCTCTTCTTAAGAAAAATAATTGAAATTTCTAAATCATAAAAGGATTGTGGGGGGAAGTCAGAATATATTGTCATGGTCCATCCTATTCTGTTGTACAAATGAAGATATATCCTAAGTTCTTGTATATACCCTTCAAGTTGATGGTTTAACAGCAGGTGTTGCTTTTTGTCAGTGGCCTATCATGTTAATTTGTTTGTTTTTAATCTAAAAGTCCATCTGGAAAGTACCTAAATCCAGGAGACAATGGTTGGTGGCGCTGAGAAACAAGATACTGGATTTTATAGGCCTTTGGTCAGGTTTGATCCAGCAGGGTGCTGCTTAAAGCCGGATCAGAAGATGCTTTGTCTTGGGGGCTGCTGTTGATTCTGAAGCTGCTGTTCTTACAGCTTGTGTGCCTACTTGCTTCCCACCTGTTCAACCTGTATATTTTAATCAGTAAATAGAGAAAGTCTTTAGTGCTGTCTTCCCCGGAGGAAATTGATCCTGCAAAGCTCCCCTGGGTGTGGGAATCAAATTTTCTTCTGCTCACATTCATGTTGAGTCAAAAATAGCTCCTTCCTATTATTTGGGATCGCCTGCCAACCTAGCAGTTCAAAAGCACCCCCGGGTGCAAGTAGATAAATAGGGACCGCTTACTAGCGGGAAGGTAAACGGCGTTCCGTGTGCTGCGCTGGCTCGCCAGATGCAGCTTGTCACGCTGGCCACGTGACCCGGAAGTGTCTGCGGACAGCGCTGGCCCCCGGCCTCTTAAGTGAGAGTCTGTCAAGACTGGCCCGTACGGGCAGGGGTACCTTTACCTTTATTATTTGGGATGTACAGTACTGAGTATTGTAATCCACTTCAGCACACAAATTCAGAACAAAAAGAACTACAGTACAGTATGTTCCTGGGTATCGTCCGCCATGAAACTACAACTCCCAGGAGGCACAGCAACCTCCTGTTTGCGAGCACCCATTCTTGGGTGCTAAGTGCTACAGGGGCGTAGTGTTGTTAGACTGAAAGTTAATGTCGAGTCAGATAGGTAGCAAAAGGAAAGTCTTCGGACAGTGTAGGAAGTCTGGAAACGAAACTTCTGGGTTCCTTTACCATGTCCCTCTTCGTGCCTATTCATTGGAAACAATGGAGAAACCCAGGATTTTTGCGCTGCTGTGATTGAATACCAGTGTGTCCACTTAAAAGGCAGCAGCATGCGACAAAAATTAGGGCTTTTCTGATATTTCGCGTGAAGAACTGTCCTTTAAACTTTTCAGGCATTAAAAGAAACCTGCCCTGTGTCAATGAAATACTGTACATGCTTCACATACTGCAGAATGGTTGTGGCTTACCTTGCAAGCTAAATCCTGCACTCAGTTGTAACACAAGCTTTGTGTTTCATTGGCTTGCATGCAACTAAGCTGCGCTTGTTAAAAGCTGCAATTCTGTAACCACTTTCTTTTTTTCTCTTCAGTTTTTTTTATTGATTTTAACAGATATAACATATAAAACATACAAAAGAAAGAACATTACAATACTAAAAGAAAAAAGAAAACAAAAATAAAAACACATATTCCTTCTGAAGTTCATTTTAAATTCCATTATTAACTGACTTCCTCAAATCCCCCCTAACTGAATTTCATTGTATCACCTTGTAACAGTTCTCCAAAATCATCTTTCTACTACAATTTACTCCTTCAGTTTACTATCTTCATCTCTTTTCTTATTGACTTAAATCCATATTACTATACAACATTCTTATTCTAATCCTAGGCCTATTTGATACTTTCAAGTACCTTCTAATTATCTTATATTACAGTATTTAGCTAAATAATCTTTAAATTTATTCTAATCTTCTTGATGCTCCTCTTCTTTCTGATCACGGATTCTTCCAGTCAGGTCGGCCAGCTCCAAAACTCCAACATCTTCATCTGCCATTCTTCTACCGTTGGTATTTCTTGAGATTTCCAATTTTTGGCTAACAGTCTTGCCGCTGTAGTGGCATACAAAAATAGTCTAACATCTTTTTTGGGCAATTCCAATCCTATTATTCCAAGTAAAAAGGCTTCTGGTTTCTTAACAAATGTATTTTTCAACATTTTTTTCAACTCATTATAAATCTTTTCCCAGAAGTCCACCACATATGATAAAAAGTACCTTCTTTTTCTTTACACTTCCAGCATAAATTATCATTTGTATGATAAATCTTTGCTAATTCTACCGGGGTTAAGTACCACCTATACATCATTTTCATGTTTTCTTTCAATACCGGGCGTGCAGTAAACTTAACCCCTTTCTTCCACATCCTTTCCCAGTCTTCCATCATTATATGTAACCACTTTCTTGAGAGTAAGCCTCATTGAACTCAGTGGGTTTAACTTCTGAGTAGAAGACGCATATAGGGTTCTGCTTGGAACCTCTTTCAAAAAACCACGATTAGAAAAGAAAAGAGGAAGCTTTTGTTTTCGCGGCGTGTGTGTTTGTGTTTGTGTCTGTGCAGGCTGCTTTGCTGTCCATCGCGGCTGTGCTGCGCTCTCAATGGCTACTTGCGTGAAAAGACTCGCAAGTACGCGACGTACGCGAGTCTATTTCCTATGTCTACGGGTAGAGGAAGGAAAAAGACAACATCCGGTCCCAAAATGCCGTGGGCGAGAGGAGGTCTTGGAGGGAATTAGAAAGAGGGGCGTAGGAGGAGAAGCAGGAGCATGCGCAGTGCGTCTCGGCGGGCCGAAGGGGTTGCAGCGCTCTTTTGTTTGGCGGAGGTGGAGCGAACGCGGGAGGCCCGTTGTCCAACCGTCGCTCTGTTCTGCTTTGAAACGAGACCGGCTCGCTCCGTGCGCCGCTCGCGCCGTCCTTCTCTCTCCCGCCCGCTTGTTTTTATTTCCCCTCGTGCGTTGTTGGCGGGGCTGAAGAAGGTAACACGGGCAGCGCGGGGTGGGGGCGCGCGCAGGGGGCCAACATCGCGCGCGCGGGCTGGACGGCCATATTGGGGGGTGCTGAGGGAGGGAGGGAGGGAATATTCCTGGGTGAGCGGGGGCTCCTCTTGGGAAGAGAGGTACAGTATTTATAAATGGGGGGCGGGCTTTTCTGGGCAGAAAGGAAATAGGCACAGTGCTTTCTGAGGCGAAATACGTGAGTTGGGAGTGGAGACGGCTATGGCTCTTCCTAAGTGCGCCTGTGGGTGTGGGGTCCGAAAAGTGGGGTGTCTGTGGGGGGGGAGGGAAGCGCATAATGTGTAGGGGAGCCATTTCAAAAGGGGGAGACGTGAAGTGGGCAGAGCAGATGGAGGGGTGCAATGGGAGGGGGACCCACAAAATGAATCCCCGTGTACCTAAGGTGCGGCATTTGCTGGGGAGCGTGGTTTCATGTGGGAACGGGGAAATCGAGAAGGCGTTGGTAGTAAATAACGGTCGGGGGGGAGGGGGCGTTAATGAACGCGTACAGGAATGTGGAGAACGGTTTCCTAAAAGAAGCTGTAGCGGTATCATAAATAGGGATGTCCCAATGCAAGGGCCGGTGGAGGGAGCCTGTGTGTGCGCGCCCGCCCATTTTTAATAGGTGTTCGAGGAAGCTGCTCCAAAGATGACGATGGGGGTGATGTGTGGAAGAATGGATGTAAAAAATACTAAGGAGGGGATGGTTGCAGAAAGAAGTGTG